TGATGATAATAATAATAATAATAACAATAATAATGATAATAATAATAATACAATAGTAATAATAATAACAATAAACGATAATAATAATAATAATAATAATAATAACAATAATAATAATAACAACAATAGTAATGATAACAGTAATAATAATGATGATAATAATAATAGTAATAGTAGTAGTAATAATAATAATAATAATAATAATAATAATAATAATAATAATAATAATAGTAATAATAATGACAATAATAATAATAGTAATAGTAATAATAATAATAGTAAATAATAATAAAAGCGATCGATTCGATTGGTGATAATGGTACGCTAATGGTGATGATGATAACGATACTTTTAGTATTAATGATGATGATGATGATAATGACTGTTAGTAGTAATGGTAATAATTAGCGATAATGTTGCTAACAATGATAAAAACTATGATTGGTAATAGTAATGGTGATGGAAATGATAATGATAATAATAATAAAAGAGACAATTGATAATGACGAATCAATCAATCAATCTCATTTATAGCCAACTGACAATAGCTATGTTGCACCACACAACAATGCTGTAAAGTATTCATTCGTTTCTTGACTATTTGTGAATCATATCCTCAACGAATGGGTTGTAATTTACAGACAATTGTCTTGTCTAACTATATACTCTACTGATAACTAAGATTGTCAGTGTTAGTGATAAGAATATTCGATTTCATGTTGTAAAGTGATTCAACATTGGTTAGTCGTTGTTGCATTACTCTGTAACTAATACTTTTTCTTTCCTTTCAAATTATTTCTCCTTTTTTTCTTTTTTTTCTATCTCCTTTTTCTTTCTCAAATTATTATCACATTTCCCTTTTTTATCGTCTAAATTATCTGTTCTTTTTAACATTTTTCTCTTTTTTTGTCTGAAAATTTTCAAAAGTTTTTATTGAAATTTCATGGTTTTAATTTGGGTTTTGCATATTGTTGAAAAGTGTAGTATAAATATCTCAAGTGATTGTTTGTATCTTTAATTAGAAGAAATTAATTAATAATTGTGGTTGTGATTACTGTTTTAGAGTATGATATTTTTTGGGAAGTTTTAAAGAACTTATGATAGTGATAATAATGATAATAGTGATGATAATAATAGTAGTAGCAATAACAATAATAATAATAATAATAATAGTAATAATAATAATAACAGTAATAATAATGATAATAATAATAATAATAATGATAATAATAATACTAATAATAATAATGAAGCAAGTATTGTTTAAGTTTTACATTCCACTCGATTTTAGTTATATAATCTATTAGTAGTTAGTTAGATAATTTTTGTAATTTTCCTGAAAGATTTCTTAAATCATATTGAAATGTCACAGTTGGAAATTGAAATTATTGCTATAAAATAGTAAAATTTATTTCTTTTTTAAAATTCTTAGGAAATCATCCATTATTACCTTTTTTTTTCCTTTTTCTGCCTCTCCTACCTCCTTAACAAAAATCAGTAAGTCGATTTTTTTCTTTTTTTTTTAATTTTCATTTTATCACTTTCACCTTTATATAGTAGTTATAAAAAATCAATAAGTCAAGAGATTACTTAAACAATTTTAGCAAGAATTAAGAAATTTAAAAATTTCGATGCTTAAGCCCAATATATTCCACTCTTTTACTTAACTTCCTTTGTTGATTAACAAAGTGATAAATTATTGTCATAGTTCTTCTCTCTCACTACACTACATATCGTTTCAAGATACGAATGCATTATCATTCATTATCGTTAGAAGAGATAATGCATTAAAAAGAAAAAAAAAACTTATCAGTACTGATGAAAAAATGAAAAGGAATCGGAATAATCAAAGAGATAAACGATAGATAACAATAGATGACAACTACTACTAGTAGTAGTGGACAATTAGTAGCCCCAGACACTTTCCTTCGTCCAGATGTTACTTTTGCTGACCATTCCATCTGTTCCTTTCGTTTATTAATCAGCTCAATTCATTTGTGACCATTGTGATTTTACGATAAATTGTATTCGTTCCTTCTCTACATTATCTATGCTTTCTTAAACTTCACGAACTTTTCTTTCTTTCTCTCTTCCTCTCCTCGCCTATTTCGATCATTATCATCATCATCATTCCTTCCTTCATCTGCTATCTATCAACAATTTTTTATAGCTTCAACTAATTTCTGATATTTTGGAATCTTTTTCCTTCTTCCTCCCTCTCTCTCTCTTTTCCCCTTACTTTTTTTTCCATCTCTCTCTTTATGTAGCCTATATCAATTCATTTCTGCCATTAACAGCTTCTTCATCTTTTATCTTCTTCCATTTTGGTTCTTAACTTACTTTGTGTCTTTGCTATTTCTTCTTGGCTATTTATTGTTGAAATACTTTTCCATATCATCTTAGCCAGAAAATCAGTTGAATGATGCCAAGAATGATAGGATGAGAATAATAGCCAAGTGGAATGGATGCAAATAAAGGCTCTAATAATGGGAAATGGATGTATTAGTAGTGTGCAATATTTATCAAATTGATCAATGTTTTCAATGCTCTTATCACCACACATACC